CAATAAAATCCCTGTAAAACATAAAAATACAATGATGGCATATCCCTCTATATTAGTTCAATGACATAATTTGAGAAAATTAGCTCTTAGGGGAATATTCAGCATACAGAACTACATCTGTAGGTAGTTAAAGAGTACAGATATGGACTTCAGTCCTGTGGAGACTGAGTCTCCCTCCCTGGGGAGGCTGGAAAACCTGCAGACATGGCACTTCAGGACATGGTTTAGTGTTGGGTTGATGGCTGGACCTGATGATCTTAGAGTTCTTTTCCAACCTTAATGATTCCATGATTAAAGTGATCTAACTTTTCAGTATTACCTTCAAGGGACTCAGGAAATTCAGTTTAAGTAGCAGCATGTGTATGTATGTATGATAATACCCCATAACCATTGGGGAACAACTTCTGATCTCCTAGTCCTTCATAAATAGAGCCAAACACTGTTAGAAGAAGAGATGAGTGGCAAGAAAAACCCAACCCTAACCACAGCACTCAACACAAACCCCCAGGCAATTCCTCCTGCCCTGTTACTCCACCAATGCACCCAAATTCCACATTTCCAGTCTCCCATTGCATCCTTCCTGTGCAATGTTTTTTTAAAGGATTCTTTCCAAAAACTTTAAATTGGGGATGTGCTTTTTTATCATCTCAGCTGCCTTCCTAGGTGATACTCCAGCACACAGGGAGGAGGAGAGGGCTGAAGCTCAGAGCTGCTGCACGCTGCCTGCCTCCATCTCAATGCCTTAATCTCAAATACAACTGCATTACACAACAGAAGTTAAAAAAAATATCTCAAGAAACAATAAAAAGTGTTGGTTTTCCTAATAATAAATTGACTTCTATGTACAGAAAATCCAAACCAGCATTTGAAGAACTCTATTATTCAACCACAGATGCTTTTTCCCCTGCACTTTGCTTTTACCACGAAGTGTTGCCTCTGGAAATCTGCAAAGGTGTAAGTTTTAAAACTAATTCTGTTAAGAGAGAGACTAATAATAAAAAAAAGCAAAGTATTATTGCCCCCTACGAAGTGATGCTTCCAAGGTGTGTCAGAGCTCTGCCATGTTGTTGCTATTTACAGGATCTATGAAAGGAAAACAATAATAATAATAACAAAAAAAAACCAAATCCCAACTAATCCAAAACCCTAGAACTACAGACCTACTAATCTCTGGAGCAGGGCTGTGCTGGCAGGGTGGGAGGAGCAGCATCCCTCCCATCCTTCCCCTCCCCTGCTCCCAGATTTTGACTCAATTTGGGTTATTGATCCCGCCCTGCTCCGCCTGACCTCCCAGAGCAACGTCTGCTCTTTTCAAGTGCCACTTGGTATTGACTCTGCGTGGAGCTCCGACTCCTCTCATTGATTTACCAGCTCTTGGAGGCCACTTTGTTTCTGATAAGATGCCCACACGGCTGCGGAGAATTTAAAACAGTTTTGTTGTCAAAAACAATTGCAGCAGGAGTGGAAAAGCTGCGTCTCCTCCCCACAGCCCCACTCCAAACTTTAAAACCTTGGTGACCACTCCAAAGCTTGGTGACCATGCTGGGCAGCAGGTGGGGATGGACACTCTCCCCTGTCCTCCACCCCAAAACCCCACCAGCCCTTCAGCCAATGGGCACAGAATCATTTTGGTTGGAAAAGAAGATGGGTTGGATGGTTAGGAGCTGCTCAGAGCTGAACAGTGAGTGACCCTGTCTCCTCTGTAGGGACTCTTCTCTATGTTTAGTGGCTCTCTACCAAACACACACTAAAAGAACTTTCTGAACAAAGCCATGGCACGATTCCAGTCCCCAGACCTGGTCCCTCAAAGGTTACATCAGCATTCCAGAACAGATGTAATAATAGTTATAGGCAAACACACACACACAAAACCCCTCCCCAAATCACAGCCCCCCAAATCTCAACAGCAGCAGCGATTCCCAGATCTGGAGCAACAGCTCTGTGCCCACTGGATCAAAACCAAAGCAACAAATTGGGGAAGGACAACCCTACCTCAGTCCCCCAGGAAACGACACGCTGTGTTCCCAAACTCACCCTCCCAGCTTGAACCAACTCTATTTCCTGACATTTTTAGACAGTGGACAAAGAAATGGGCTGAGGAAATGGAAGCTGTAAGGAAGTCAGGAATCCACTTCTGCCACACCCCTAACGCTTCATCTCCACCCTGTAGCACAAACTCTGATATCTGGCCTCCTCTAACCATGCCACCTCCTCCCCGGCTGCTGCAAATGCCACTGCTTGAATTATTTGCCTTTTATGAATTACTTACAGCCTACTTGGAGCTCTTTTGTTTTGTTTTGTTGTGGTTGTTATTTTCCACGCTGAACAAGGTAGGTATTTTCAACATCCTTTCTACCCAACAACATTATGCTTGTATATATTGATAAAATAAAATAAATCCATACAACGAAAACCACAACTTTATATATAACAACATTATTCAGTTCAAAAGATTGTGTTGCATGAGATTTTCAGCAGGTGCAATTTCCATTTCAGCAAAGACCTGTGCAGCTAAGCTTAAGCACAATATTTTCCAGAGAAAATATCTGACAGAAAATCACTAGCAATCACCAAAAAGTACAATCCTCTCGCCCCTACTCGAGAGAGACAGACAAGGAAGCAAAGCAGCAAAGCTACTGCAGCTCCATCTCTGTGTAGAGCAGAGGGGGCAAAGCCATGGGCAGAGCCCTCGGATGTGGCACAGCACCCTGGTCAAACAGCCACCACCCGACTGGGGGAGCTGGACAGGGCACCCCCAGGATGGTACCTAAGGGCACCCCCAGCAGCGTGGGCAGCAGGGCAGGAGGGGATCCTGCCCCTCTGCCCCCTGAAGTGCTGGGGCAGCTCTGGAGGTGGTCGCTGCCCCATCCCTGCAACCATCCCAGGGGTGGCTGGACACAACTCTGAGCACCCTGCTCTAGCTGGGGATGTCCCTGTCCCTGCAGGGGGTTGGACTGGGTGAGCTCTAAAGGTCCCTTCCCAAGCCAACCCGTTCTGTGACTCCGTGACACATGCACAGCCCCTGCACGGAGAGGAGCACACGGGGCAGTTTGGTGCACAAGACATCACAGCTTTCAGTCCAAGGAACTGCAGCCAGCCCCAGCAGCACACGAGGACTCTGGGCAGTGACAGTCTGAAGTCCCTTGTCCCCAAGGCCTGCCCTGGTGTGGTGCCACAGCTCTGGGCAGTGCCACGGGACCTTCCCCTGGGCTGGAGCACAGCAAAGCAAAGGGCTGTTGCCTTTGCCCAGTGCCCTTTCTGTGCTCTGTGAGAGATCTAGTTCATCATCATCTCTTCTGCTGTCCTACATGAATTTTTACAAGGATCTCTTGCTTTCAAAGAGGGACGTGTTAATTCATCTCTGTGACTACATGGGAACCTAAAGCTTTTGCTGCTAACTGATTTTGAATGCTGGCAGCAGCCTTTGAAATTCTTTGGGTCATTCTATCGCCTGGTTAGATCTTTGCAGACAACAATTTAAAGCACTTCATCTTGGTCACCTGCAGGGCTACAACACTCCCAGGCAGGGAGCACCAACGCTGAGCTGCACTCCCTGCATCAGACCAAGGGTACAGAGAGCCCTGGCTGTGTTTAAAGCTGCTTATGCTGCTCCTTATCTCTCGTTCGACAGGGAGAGCAGAGGTGTTGGAAGCATTCGTAGGACTTGGCAGATCTCCTTTCTAGCTGAAATTAATTACCTCTGGGGACACAATGCCTGTAATGCCCACTGAAGAGGTGAGACCATAGGTGGAGACCTCTATAAGCTCTGCTCCTGCTGGGTGAGCCCCCTACCCCCAGCAAACCAAGGCCAAAAATATTGCAAATCTCTGCACAACCAGTGTCCTGAATCCCAAAGAACAAACCTCTGGTGCAGGCACCTTCCTGTGGAAGAGACTTGTAGCCAAAGCTTGGACCTGCCCAGACGACGCTGCTGTCTTCCTGCAATTATAATTTTCTAAGTTTAACAACTGCAAATTTGGAAATTAGAAGCCTGGCACAAAATGAGATGTGCTAGCCGTGAGACGAAATCTGCTCACTCATCTAAAAATGCAACAATTCCATCCCCAGTGGTGAGCCTGCCCAAGTCTTGTGTTAAAGAAGAATTGTTAAATGAAGCTAGAGGTGGAAAAAAAGGAGCAAGAAGCCAAAGCTCTTTCCTGCAGAGGGAATCCTGGGTTCTAAGTGGGGATAACTGACAGTACCACTGAGTCCATGCAAGCCCCGTGGGAGAGCACTGGAGGTGAGGGTGAGTCTGATGCTGCTTTGCAATAATTCCTTTTTATGACAATCCAACTAATGCATCAGATCCTAATGCTCAGATGCTTTTTCTTTAGTCACCCGAGTGTAACATTTTGGACTCAATTCTGGTGTATGAACATAAGTGGAGCTCACTTATGAAGAGAAGCAACCTGGCATTCCCTCCAGGACCCTGACTACACCTTTGCCATGTGCCATAGGCTCAGTCTAGCTGGGCCAGTTTAAAAACAACCCGTGTAAAATGTAGTGCTAGTCTAGTCTCAACACTGAAGCTCAGGACAATTCACCCTGTGGTGTAAATGTGCCCTGAGGCTGCTCTTTGTGAAGCACAGCACTCCCCAGACTGCCCACTGCCCTCCCTGATGAGCTCCAGAAACGCAGAAATCTGCCTGTCTGTCCGTTTTTTGCTTACATCCTATATTCAAAGTGATTTTGGTAAGAGATGCCTCTTTCTGGACAAGGTGACAGCTAATTCCCACTTATTCTACCGGAAAGATACAACTGAAACGGATGCAACAATAAAGCTAATGGCTAATATGATTGCTATTGATCACTTGCCAGATTCTCAGACGAATAGCCCACCAGCTAAAGGGAGAAGGAAAATAGTGCTCTGTATTGCACGTGCCTCGGTACTGAGCTAGCTGGGTAGCTCATCTCAAAGTCTACGTGAAGCTGAGCGTCAGCAGCGTGGGACTGCAGTGAACCCTGCCACATGAGATGCACCTCTGTTCATTTCCACCTACCTTCTCGGCTGACTGGGCAGTGCCAAAAAATATTGGAATGAAGGCAAGCCATACTATACAGGTAGTGTACATAGTGAATCCAATGGGTTTAGCTTCATTAAAATTCTCTGGGACCCCCCGAGTCTTGATGGCGTACACAGTACACGTAACCATGAGAAGAATGCTATAACCCAAGGAACAAATGATTTGTAGATCCGTAATGTCACATTTGAGAACTCCTCTGGCTTGATCAGGGTTCATAGTTTTCTGCTCATCATAATCTATGATGATGTTGGGCGGGTCCACCGCAAACCAAATAAAGACACCTAGAAGCTGAACGGATATCAAGCTGGAGGTGATGGCCAGCTGGGAGGTGGGGCTGATGAGCCTGGGGGCAGTCACGGACTTTTTGCCCTGCTCGAAGATGCGGTAGATGCGGTTGGTTTTGGTCAGCAGGGCGGCGTAGCTGATGCACATCCCCAGGCCCAGGAAGATCCGCCGGAAGGAGCAGACGGCGACGTTGGGCTTGGCGATCATCAGGAAGGTGATGATGTAGCAGAGGAAGATCCCCGTGAGCAGGACGTAGCTGAGCTCCCGCCCCGACGCCCGGACGATGGGGGTGTCGTTGTACCTGATGAAGGTCGCCATGACGAAGATGGTGGCGATGATGCCCAGCATGGCCAAGAAGACGGGGATGACGGCCCAGGGCGAGTGCCACTCCAGCTTGACGATGGGGATGGAGCGGCAGCCCGTGCGGTTCTCGTTGGGCCGCTCGTTGTAGGAGCAGAGCAGACACGTCACCTCGTCGGCCTGGTACTGGTACCCGTCGCAGAGCTCGCAGTGCCAGCAGCAGGGCATCCCCTTCACCATCTTCTTCCTCTCCCCAGGCTTGCAGGGCAGGCTGCAGACCGAGGCCGGGACCTGGCGCACTCCTCTGCCCCACTGCATTTCATCGATCTACAAGACACAGAGAGAGGCTGGTTTGTTAGGGAGGTGGGACTGCCACACCGCGGGGTTGGGATGGAAGTGGGGAGGACCAAGGGGGAACCTACAACAAAGGAAAACCAAGAGGATTAACTTTATCTGGGGTAGACTCCTGGAAGAGCAGCAGGAAGCACACGTGCTACTGTCTTCCCATGGGACTGCTGAGTCCATTATTCCCTCCCTTTTCCATTATTATTAGTAGTTAATTCTGGTGGAATGACACACAACATCAAATAAAACAGGAGAGTGTAAATCTCCTCCTTGTTTCACAAAACTTAGAACACTACAGAGGGAAGGCAGCAGATACATTCACAAAATTGCTTTTCACGCATCCAGAGCTTGGGGCTGCTTACCAAGAGCAGAACAAGTGATCTCCTTTCTTGGAGGGAACCTCGTGACCAGGTTAATATCTTAAATGAGGTGGAAATGGGTCTTATACAGGGCATGGAATCAGTGAGAATGTGGTAGGATTGGCAGTATGAGACATGTAAGAAATATGATAAAGAGAACGGTCACCAGTGAAAAATGCATTAATTAGATAATATTCCATGCCAAGAGCAGAACAAGTGATCTCCCTTCTTGGAGGGAACCTCGTGACCAGGTTAATATCTTAAATGAGGTGGAAATGGGTCTTATACAGGGCATGGAATCAGTGAGAATGTGGTAAGATTGGCTATATGAGATGTAAGAAATATGATAAAGAATATGGTCACTGGTGAAAAATGCATTAATTAGATAAAATTCCATGCCAAAGTCACATTCTGCTTTTGGAACAACCTACACGTTCCTGGGAATGCAATTTATAAATTGTTATATTAAATAAGTGAAAAGTCTCACTCCTTCTGCAGCCTTAAGAATCCTAAACTCCAAAGTATGTGTACAAAGGCTCACAAATGCTGCAGCAAGTTAGACTCAAAAATAATTTCAAAATATTCCAGACGAAAGCCACAAACCAGTTTCCAAAAAAAGGGAGGTTTAGTGTTGGACCCCCCTGAAATAGCCCATACTGGAACCAGGGGGAGGGTCCTGATATTCCCAGCACAAATCCCCTGCACCAGTTACCAGCTCAGCTGCCCAGCAGAATTTCAGCTGCTCCAATAGGTGCTCTGTGTGTGTGTGTCTTTTCCAAACATAAAACCTGATCTCCTGAAGGCTGAATAAGTGTTATTAAAAGCAAAATTTCAGCTATTATTTTTTTTTTTAAGGTTTCTCAAATGGTTAAAAACTCTGTTATTTTCCCTATGAGTGGAAAAATTCAGAGAGGAGTTTCTTGACTCAGCTGCCTCGGTTATTAATGTGTAGGGGAGGCTGAGGTTTGCTAGTCTTAAATGGAAGGATTAAGTTGCACTTCCCTAATTTAATTCAAAATAGATCCTGTATCATCTCCATTTCATATATTTGAAAAAAAAAAAACCCAATCCTGAAGTCACACACTGCTTGAATACTGTACTACCCAGAGCCTCTGCTGTGAATGTTATACAACTAATCCCTCAGGAACAGATATTCTAGAGGCCTGCCACTGCCTGAGAAACTTCATTAACCTTCAATACTCAGCATTTATTCTGGGAAAAAGAAAAAAAAACTAACCAAACCCAAACCTAGGAACTCTTCCTCCACGCTGGGCTGGGCTGAAGGTACAGAGGTGACAGGACCAAGGGAACACGGGTGATCCAGGAGAACTTAAAGCCTCAGTTAATTACACTGCTCAGTGGTAGCTTGGGCTTAACTGGAAGAGTGTGTGCAAGGAACCAGGAAACCCATTTCTCTGCCCAGCTCCACCACTGCTCCAGCTGAAGGTGAGGAAGCCCTTTGCAGACCTGGAGCTGGATTCCTGGCTTGTGTGCACAACTCCCTCACTGCAGAGCCACAACAAAGAGATGGTGAGTAAAGGGAACCAGGGCCGAGACTTCTCACCCATAAAAAAAGGTGTGAAAAGGTCAGGACAATTCCTTTAGAAACCAACAATTTGCCACTTTTTAAACTCCTCTTAATTGCTGATTTGTACCTTGTCCTTTTAAAAGGCAGACTGAGACAGGGTAACTGCTACTTACCTGGGCTTGTACAGCTAGAAAGGGAGACACAGCAACCCAGCCTGGAGCATCTTTTTTCTATCACAACCATTAAATACAGAAGTTACTTGATGCCTGTTTTACAGCATGCACTGGTATGAACTGAGAAAGGCATCCTAAGTGCACAGACTGTGACCCAGTCTGCAGCAAGGGAAAGATTTTCAGCAATTTTCTGCATGTTAATATCTCACAGAACCACAGAATTATTCATGCGTTATCTTATCCCTCACCCCACCCCACTTCTGACTACAAAAAGATGAATTTCCATCTTCTCAGACATATTCCACGGCATTGCTGGGTGGCTCAGACAGCCTAAAGGTACCTCATTCTGCACAGACACTGTCTGTAAAGAGATAAAGAGACCATCAGGCAAAATTATGGAAAGTCCTTTCTCTGGTCTCCTGGGACAACACCAGGAGAACTCAGTATCACTGGGCTCAGAAGGATTTGCAGCATTCTGCTGCTTCTGGCATGAAAATTAATGCTGAAAAGTGCCTGTTAGATAACACACCTGGCACCAGAGCTGGGCACTGGGAGATGAGAATCTGAGTCAAACCAGAGACACTTCCCACTCAAAACATAATAGTTTTGAAATATTTTTTCCTCTTCAAGATACATTATTGTTTCATAACTCCTTTTAGAAATGGAAACAAAAGCAATAAGGTGTATTTGGCTAGTGTATTTTTTTTTCCTGTACTTTATTTCTGTCCCACTTTTCCCCTCCCTCCTTCTTCGTTCAGCTCCTCCTGCTGTTTCCTTGAAATAATTTAGCTTTTGAAAACCTGAATCTAAAAAAGACTTCTATTGTGGCAAGTAATTGTTATATTCAGCCATTGCAAGTAATTGTTATATTCAGCCATTTCTTGCATTTTCTTAAATCTAAGCCTGCTTATAACTCAGTGACTTTTTAAATACTTTTAGTCACTGCAAACAGGAAACTTCTTGCTTAAAGATCCTGAGTTCAGAGGTTCAGGATCATAAAATACTGATAAAACAGCAAGGACAATTTTTCTCCACAACCACTCTCAGAGGACCTTAAACCCAAAACTGCAGAGCAATTCAGCCAGGGGCAGGATCCCCAGCCCTGGTTTGGTTGCTTCTCTCTTGACATGTCCATGGGACGTGGCCACAGTGCAGAACTAAACCACATCTATTCAAAACACAACAAGAGCAGCTGGAGAAACAGATCCAGAACTCTGGAGGGTTTGTGCTCTTTTGCTGACCCTGCCTGCAGCCAGTTTGATCAACCTGGGCAAGGCACTTCATGTATTTCTCTCTTCCATTTCCCTGTCTATAAGCTGGAGATACTGTCAATTGTGTTTATAACAAAGACCTATAAAATCTTGAGATGAGTGGAGGTAGAGAGCTATATGTTTACAAATCCTGTATTTCTATAAGCCAATAGAATAAACTCTTATCCCATAATCAAAAAGGGATTATCCGAACATGCTAATCACACTTGCAAAAGCAGTAAGGAAACAATATCATAAATCATGAGAATACTCCTGCAATTAATACAAAAGTTGCTTTTTTCACACAGAACTTTTCATTTCAGTCATACACAGAAGCAGCACACAGAGGATTGGGGAATTTCCTTTTCCCAAAGCAACACCACTCGCAGATGCAGCCAGACCCTGGACTCACAGCTGCCCAACAATCTCACATCTTGAGCTTAGCACTTGACCAAGCCACGAGCAAGGGATGCAGAGAACCTCTCCTCTACAATTCTGCCAGGCTTGGGGAGGATGCAGACCTGCCCTGCTGTTCACAAATGTCTCAGGTCTTCACAAATCTCATATTGACTCATCAACCACTTATCACCATGGTAAGTGGCACATCTTCAACAGCCCAATGTGCAGACTGATGCTGATTTAGTTCATGCACAGCTAAATTGATCTGATAAACAGGAAAAACACAAACCAACCACAGCTGGTTCCTTGTAGGACACTCAAAACAACAGATGAAAAGAAGAACTTCAAAGCTGGCCCTGCTCCATGGTACTTGGCTCCAGGAGAGCTGCCATGGTATGGTGGGACACTAAGTTTTGACCTTCCACATGGCACAGAGGAAAAAAAAGATCCAAACCAACCAACAAAACCCAACCTGAACAAACCAACCAACCAACCCCAAAAGAAAAAGCTCCCTTCCATATCCAGAGCCTTCCCCCCAAGCACAGGCCAAGGCAGCATCTGTCCAGGTCAGGGGTTACCTTTAACTCCTCTTCTTCTAACATTCCTTTTCCCAGTTCTCCCAACTCCTACTCAACGCCCAGTTCATAAACGCCCTGAGCTAGAGGGATGGGATCCATTTCCAACATAAATTCTCATTATGTTCACTACAGAACAAACATTAACAAGAAATGCTTAGTCTGCCTCATAAGGCTTAGCATAATTGTTCATTTTAATGAATAAAGTAACTCAATATATGTGTACAATTGAAGCATAGCTGCCTTTTTTTTCTCTCCACCACAAACATTTCTATAACAAGCTATTTGTTCTGAACTAAACTGTTTCGTGCAATGTTTGATTAAAATAAAAATCAGTACAAAAATAATTACATTAGTGATAATTAACCTACTTGGGGGGAAAAAAAAATAGCCACGTTCCCTGATAGGACTTTCATAACAACTGTGCCATTAATTTCATGGACACATTAGGACCCAATTGCAGAGGACTGTGCTCAGATTTATTGCCACCTTACAGATTGCTTTGAGACTCCAGTTACTAAGTCAGCAGTTCAAATAGTTTTTGTATATTCAACTTCACAGAGAGCAATATTTGCATGACTTAGCTCTTCAGGCTCAGCTATTAGCGTCTTGTAATTAGTTTCTAAATCCAAGGCTTTAACATGATAACGGTTTTAAGCTAAGAATATGTCAATAACACACAGTCAACAGAGCCTGCT